AATGTATAAAATAAAAATAAAAAAAAAATAGTACCTAGTTCTGCAAAAATACGTCAACTTCTCGTTTATTTATCCAATGAAACTTGTTCAATAGTATTGTAATATTAATAATTATAAGCATTGTTATTTGTTATTACTCGTCCTATTCGACCTATTCCCGTAAGTTTTTTTATATTGTGCATTGCGTATTATACTTTTATTTTAAATACTACTGCTGTAATACAAGTTCTTATTTTTTTCTTATTTTCAATCATTGTAAAACTCATAGGACATGGTTTCGTCATCGGATGTTGTAGCTACAATTTTATTTAATTAATAAAATTCTTTATATCTTAATATTGCAAAACAAATTATATGTAGGTACCCTACACGTGTTTTTCCACAACGTAATGTGATATGTTAACTTCTATTTTATTTTTAAAATATATTTATAATATGGTATTCTTCGTAGATAATTATGGTTTAATAATATTTAAGTATAATGCACAAACACTTGATTATATATGCATGCGAATCTAAAAACCTAATAACGTGGCAATCATCTATATTGTATAATAACTGCATAATTCAACTATTATAATAATATAATATCACGTGCGGTGATGGTACAATGTTGGTCGGGTTTTAAAATTATTCATATTTTTGTGTGAAAACAAAATCACTGATAGCGCGTATAATATTAATACATAATAACTAGCTATTCCAGCGCACTCCGTTCCTCGTACAAAATGTATCCGTGTAAAAAATTTGATTACCTAATGCTTACATTTAGCGTAACAAGAGTCGATAAATAATATTTTTGATTTTCTGGTTTAGTGTATAGATGATATTTTCGACATATCAACTTAATAATTCTGGATTTTATCATAAATTTTATTTTTATTTTTAATTAAAAATATAAAATAAATAATAATTAACATAAATTTTTTTTTTCAATTCGTTCATTTCTCTTTTTCATAAGCATTAAGTGTTTTTGTGGTAAATATTTATATATATTAAAACAAACAATAATCTATTTATTTTATTATTTTTATATATTTTGTCCAATTCTGTTTTTAAAAATATTTCCTAGTTTTAAGACTTAAGGTTCCGTAGTTTTTTTGTACTTTGCAATTTTACAAATGTTTCAATTTGATTTTTCTTTTTTTAATACATTGATTAATTGAAAGATATTTTAATGAATTAAATATGTGGAATAGAAGCAATACTATTGAACTTGCTATGCATTATTTTACAGCAACTAATTGTTCGTTCTATAATATTGATATATTTAGCCCACATTCTAGGTGGAAATAAGTTATATTTTTCAATATAACTTTCTTGTATACATAATCAACGAATTCTTTAAGTTTTTTGTTGATCGGTTTTAAATAGTTTAATGACATTAAATCATTAATGTAGCAATTGTTAATTTCTTCGGGCAATAAAAATGATAAGCAAAAAAACAATTTCAATGTTCATTCTATTCGAAATTGTTATTTTTAAATTCCTTTGAAACCTCTAATTTTTGTATATTCCTCCATCATTCTTGACCTAAGTGAAACCGAAAACCTTTTAATTGAATTAAAAGACTTCAAAGATCGCTACATAAATAACTCTTTCAAAGTCCGCATATATTTTATCCAAGTTTAAATAATTTTGAATTGAACGAAAAGCTTTTGTATAAATATCATTAGTTTTATTTGGAAGTAAAAAGAAAACTAGAAAGACGTAGTAGTTATTTTTTACTATACGCAAAATTACTTATGCGAAATAAAAAATTTATATAAATGCAACGATATTCTATAGGATGCACTCGCGAAGCAAGACGGACATTTCGAAATTTCCGCCATGAAACGACGTAACTTGTACATTGTTATGTATACCAGCTACATATTTTATGGTGCTGATAGTTATGTAGGTACGCGTATTATATTAATAAATTCTCGAAGAAACGTGGTCGTCGACTGATGACGATATATTAGTGTGCGGCGCTCATCAATTGACTTAGTCGTATAATTATTTGAATTTTCACCATGATATTATTAGCTAGTACACGATGAGCTTTTAAATACTGTAATATAATATTGGCTGTTTTCGATTACAACTCCCGAGTTCCTTGTATAATAAATCGCTATACTTGTTTTTTTATAATGTACAAATTACGTAGGTATATGTTTACGGTATACGGAGAAAACCCACACTGCAACTGCATAGACATATGCGTTATATTCTATGCAAAAATCCGAATTCAACTTTTATGTTCCGTCAATAAATGCATTATGCATAATAAATAATACCAACAACATTCTGTAGGATACGTGCTAATTGAGTGTGTAGAACTTACGCAAGTCCACAACTCGAAACTCGAGAAAGTAAAAAAAAAATGCATTTGAGTAATGAGTTGATAAAATAATTTCAAATATGAAATATTTTTCGAATTGTTAAAGTTCTTATCGATATAAATATACAAAATTAAAATTTGACTGCAATGGTGTAACTTATGTTAAAAAACTGAAACTTAATAATATTTTTAAACTTTTAAACTTAACTTGTTGCCTGTTGGTTTATTTTCTATTACACAAGTAACTTAATAACATCATAGTTATTCATTTTAAAAACCTTATTATTTTTAATTTATTTGAAATATAATTTATGCGTTGAAATCATAATTATACAAATTAATTTTTTTGTGGATTACCATTTGATCAAATCTGTTGAAATGAACAAATAACTGGTAAAAAATAAAATATTATTTGCTTAATAACATAAAACAAATATGTCTTGATTTAATAATTTAGTAAATATAAACATATTGCATGTTATTATAAACACTTTTATCATTACAATTTGCAATAACCATTAAGAAAAAGTGGTACGATATAACAAAATAGGCTATTCATTTAAAGTTAGATAAATAAATAGAAAACATTAATTTATAATTTAAACGTTTCTTATAATTAAACGTAGATACGTTAAATTGACAACTTTGTTCAATCGGTTTTAAATTGACATTAATTTTTGCAACTAATTTGCTATAATTTGTAACGTCGATAAAAAAAAAGTACATTGCATATTTTTTACGGTGCTTATGGTAGCATTAGGGTGCCGAATTTATGTATAGCACCCTATTAGATATTGTCTGATCGGTTTTAAATCTTCAAATAAGTACTATATACTTTATGTGATTATTTTATTGTAATGTACTATAAATTGTAATTTTTTAACTATCAAATTCTAATAAATATTTGTTAAAAGTTTAAAAAAAACTTAACATTTATAACTAACTCAATTACATTTATTTTTATAAATCCATATTTTCATAGTATTAGTATTGTAGATTAATTGACTAAATATGCACGAGATATAGTACTCGTAAGTGGATTCTATAATAAATTATTCAATACGAAATTAATTTCATTATTATGGCGACAATAATAAAATAGCCAAGGAATATTCATAATAAAAAGTTTCTATTCTGTATATAATACATAACGTGGGTGTAAAATTTTCATAATATATGAACGATTATAATAAAATATAATAGTAATGATGAGAGATATTCGATTCAAAGACCGTCATATATAAAATAAAAAATTGCATTGTTATTTGATTATAGTATTATTTTAGCGATAGTCGCTTTCGATATCATTCAAATGTATACTTTGTAAGTATAAATTTTGTAAATACACTATTCGACTGATTGGCCTTTACTGTAAAGTGTATTTATAACTTATAAGTAAAAATTAAAAAAACTTTCTTTAGTTTTAATAAAATATAAACCTATTACAGATAAATTTATATATAAATATTATTATTTTTTATACAATTTGTATTTATGATTTGTACCGGCTTGACAGAAAAAGATTGTATACGAATGATAAAAATATGGAAATACAATAAAATACATTATACCTATAAACACTTACATTTTCAAAAAATTAACAAAAACTCTTCACAGTCTCATTATAGTACAGTGTGGCAAGAATATAGGGACGTGTAAATCTTAAATTTCACCAAAAGCAGCACCAGAAAACTCTATTTATTCAGTCACTTTTCAAAATGAAAATACAGTGCCTACTGCAACAGTGTATTATAAAATATAGACTAATACAAGAATTTTTCTATTTCGTCGGTGAAGTACCAACTTATTTTTGGTCGAAGCGAAATACAATTTGCACGCTGTAAATATGCAGAGTATCTTGAAGTATATTATTTGGTACAAGCTACACAAAATCTTGTAAACATTATTGTTCCTAAATGTGTCAATGTGCAAATACAATCGTTACAAGTTGTGCACATAAATCAATTTTAACAATAAAAAAAAAATTATTTTTAAAAAAATATTTTTGAACAAAAACGTCAAAAACCGTATAGAAACACCACAGTTGTAATAGTACCTACGACACCCATATATTATGTTTTTATGCTGCTACGGACAAAACTATATATAATAAGAATAACATGCATAATACACGTTTTATATTAAGTTATTAATCCAATACGATTCAAAATGATGAATTATCGGATTTCTACGACACAATGTGATATTATAATGAAACGATGATGGCGTTGACGACATTCGCGGGCTATACTTTTACGATTTCCTTTACAAAAGTAATGCGTGTACTACAATAATTAGCGCACAAATTGACAGCGCTATGTACAGTATGTACAAGTATATACCTAACGGGCAATAGTGCAGCATTACCTCAGTTGATCTATGATTAAACACGTTCACACATTCTTCGGCTACTTCGGTTGCAAACGATGTCCATATTATTATTTTTATTAGGTAATGGGCGCTTGCTGTTGGCATATGGGAAAAAAACGAAAACGAAATTATTTTAATAACGTTCAACACAATCGTTACGATGTCGGCGACGGTCGTGTTTTGAGATAGGTCGTGGCACGAGAGGACTTGGCCCCGCCGCGCTGCCGCTGCCGCTGAGAGTGGTGGAACCATATAGTGACCGTCGGCGAGGAGGAGAAGAAGAAGAAGAAGAAGCAGAAGGAACCCTTTGCTGCTGCTCATCATCACTTTTACCCGAACGATCTTCAGTACGTGCGCGCTGCCGGGTGAGTTTACAAATGCACTGCTGTACACGCTAAAAGGAATCACACAGGTAAAATAATTCAGAAAACATTATATTACTAATATTATTTTTATTTTTATCGATTTATGTATATATATTATATATATGTGCGTGTGTGTGTGTGTATTTAAATAAAACCTTTTAAAATTTAAAATTTAATAAATACATTTAAACTTTACTAAAATATTAGAAAAACATATTTTTTCGAGTATAAACAGTCAAAACAAAATAAAACAAAATTTTATTTATAGAATAGAAAATATTAATTTTTCTTCAATAATAGAATTTAATATAATTGTATAATTTTTTTTTTTTTTTTGAACCCGATAAAAATACAATATTTTGCGTACGATTCGTATAGCGTCGTCGTAAGAATAATATAAGTGATCACCGTGCAATTTTTTCCTTAAGTTTTTTAATCCTATTTAAAACTCGGTGCTAACAATAACAGACAATAATATTATATAGGTAAAATTTGTTTAGTCTGCGCGAGTGTATTATCGGTTTGCACATCAGTATATATTATGTTAGTATACTTGTCGCAAAAAAATAACCTGTTCGTTTAGTATAACATTTATATAATAGAATTGTCGTATACACATAATTCATCGTTTTAATATATTTATTTATTTTTGTACACAACATCCGCCGCATCTGTTTACGCGACCGTTATTATTACGACGTAGCAGAAGGAGACTTGTTGCATAATTTCTTATCGACGGTCACAATAGTCGTCGTCGTACATTATCATTATGGGACGCGTAGCTCAAATATAAAACATACTCGTATATATATTATATATACATGTACGCATGAAATAATTTTATACAATACAAGAAAACCGCGAAAGTATCACATAAAACGACCAATAACCATAATTATTAATATGTACTATGACATATCGTAGAACACTGGTCATTAGGGTCTCTGGTAAATAATATTTCTGATGACACTATAATATATTATATATTACTTTTTTATATTGCATGCGGTGTATGGATGGGTATGATAGACATTAAATTATAAAAATTTCGTTAATATAATATGCGTATACCGGTCCGACGGCTCATCAGCGTGATCGGAATACGTAATTCGATTTCGTGTACCTATATACAAATGTCAACTATAAATCTGAACCAGATGACGGTGCATTATAATAGTATAATATGATGCCGTGCGTTGACTCTACTCTGCCGCAACGGCAAAGAAGACAAAAAAAACACGATTTATTAGTTTTTGGACGCTTGTATTTTTAAAAAGTATCTTTGCGTGAGAACATAAAGAATTCATCGTTTCATCGGGTTGTTATGATAAAACTAATACCACTAATTATATCCGTCTAACTATTTAATTTTCCATGGAATTTATCGAAATCTAATGGATTTTTTATCGATTGCATTTTAGTAATTCGGCAGAACGGCATACGATGCGCATTTATTATTAAATTATGTATCTACATTACTTACCTTACCTATATAATATGCACGTAGTAGGTAGACAGCTTATTTTGATACGTATATAAGAAAACTAGTAATTTTCGGTTCTATAAAAAACAACAACGAATATACTGTTTTTTTAGTTAGTTTGAAATCTTTATGAAGATTAAAACTACGTTATACGACTGTCAATTTTCTTTAAACATAAGTACATATCTCCTTTTCAAATTGATGTATATCGTTAAATCTTTAAAACATCTGAGCAACAGTAAATACCTATATAGATTATGTAAACACGTAAAATCATTATTATACCCGGAATATATTATTATTTATGAATTTATGACATAAAATTATTATTATATTATACATAATATTATTAATATGCTGTTCTTTATGAATTTAGTTAATTAATAACATATATTTTTTTTTAATAGTAGTTTTATCGGTATACGATGCGCGATATAAATAATTATGTAAAATATTTAAATATATTATGTTTGTGTGTAATATTCTAATAGCGGTAGCCGTCATTTTGGTCAGCGCAATCGTTTCCTGTTCGATTAATTCGAATATAATGGAACTAGTTTGAAGATTACCCAAACATCTAGGTACCGCAGATCACGCGTTTACATAACACGATCGAGGCGTTGCGGTCGTTCGTATTTAAATGTGTGAGTAACCTGTGTGTGTATTTAAAACGAACAATGAGTGAACGCATATAGTCATTTCGTCAGAACGAATTAAGACAATAATAAATTTTTTTCTTCAATCGCAACTGAATCGGGTCTTCTTCTATGTATATAACATAATAATATTATATTATATTATATTTTATTGTTTGGAGTCGAACGGCAGAAACCATATTATATTTTACGCATCACATACCTATGTATACACATATATTAGGTATATTTTATATACATGACTGTAGTCTATAGAGATAGTAGAGATAATTTCATTTAAATATTATTTTAATATTCACGTGTTGTAATCTCACTGTAGTTTCAACAATACCTAATACAAATGTTGCAAATACGTTCGTTTGATTTCTGGTTATGAATATATGAATAATACCATAGCTGAGTTCATTATCGAGTAGAATACACTGTATATATTATAATAATAGTCCAAATCAACGCGATTTGTAACACAAATATAATATCGTATAGTTAGATTTGTCTACAAAATTATGTTAACATAGTACGAAGACCTCCCCCTTTCCATTTGAGAGGCAAATTCACAGTGTTCCAGTAGGTATTCAGTCAAATATCAAAGTAAACGTTTTTAATAATAATACTGTTTGTACGAGAATAATTAAAAATAGATAAAATATTTGCTTTAAAACCGTTAATATACATTATACGCATAAACGAGCACTTTAAAATTCAAAAGACGTATACTAAATAATATGATAAAAATTAATAAAAATAGTTTTTATAAAAATAAAAAATCACGGTTCTTACCCCTTATTTACATAATAATTGTATCGTTTTAAGTGTATAGTTCAGTGTTTAATGTCAACAATTTGACAATAGCATAGACTTTTTATCTGCGTATTCATCAAAAAGCGCTTATAATATAATATATAGACGATAGCCACCATTTAAAATATAGTAATTTATCTTCAAAAAATAATAGCTAAACAATAATTATTGATGATATGTTTAGGAATAAAATATGTAAAAAAAATAACTCATAGCTCATCGCGATATGCAATAGGCAAAAAAGCTATATTTTGTTAAAGTATAAGAAAGAACATATTATTATGTATTTGGACTTAAGACAAGAGAATTCAAGGATAAAACTCTGGAATTCTTAAATTAATTCACAATCTTGTTCGCACAATGAAAATTGTAATAATCGATGACGTTAAAATTCAACTAATATTATTCGTTTATACTTTCTCCTCGTTGGGTCCATGCGCGCTCGAAAATTCGATGAGTACTGCCGAATCCTATTGTTTCTTTTATAATAACTTAACATATTTGACCTACGTACAACAGAATTAACGAATGCAAATCTAAAATAAATTATCATTTTTAACGTGTGTGTATTTTGTTACATATAATTATTATGAGTACATGGCACAGTGTTGTGATACCAGGTACGACCAGCACTGTTGAAAAGTCGGTAAGAGTTCACGAAGTCGTCCTTGCAGCTAACCGACGAATGGGCGGTACGCGTGAACATTTTAAATAATATTACAATGTTATTATACGAAATGCGTGTGGGGTATAAATTAATGTGTGCTTATCTAAAAGGATGTCAACGTTAGCCTTTTTGTTCGTGATAGATTTATGATGAAATAGCTGTAAAACTGATCATCATATATTTTTTAATTTTGTGTTACTATTATTATGGCCAAATGATATTTAAACGTAATACCGTCTATATAGACGACATAACTAATTTATTAAAATGTAACTGAGAAAGTGTTCATGAGGTATATTGATATTTTTTCATCGTATGAATATAATTTTGCCTGTCTATCTGTATAAAATTTGTAATCGGTATTGTGTTCTCCTAGTTCAAAAAAGACAATAGTTACAATAAACTACAATATGAAAAATTCAAAGAGTATGCAGTAATTAGTTCATTTAACCAGTGGCGTAATTGAGAAAAAATCTAGGGTGACAAAATAATTTATTTGACATGGTCAAAACCCAGTATATTTGTATTGTTGGATTATTTGGGGAGAGGATAAAATGATACCTTTGCCTCTCACAAAATTGTCATGGGGGTAAATCCCCCCCCAAAAAAAAAATTACCCTACTGAATTTAACTACGTATAAATGTATAATATGTGTCGTCTTTTTGAAAGAAACGCGTAGGGGGTATATAGATACATTATAAAACATACGGATAAAATTATCAATAATTATTAAAATAATATGAACTATTAATATGCTAGAGTATTATACAAACAGTCTCGAACTTGTAAATCACACGGAAAGCATGTGTAAAGACAACGCACGGTGAAAAAGTAATATTATCACTGAACTAAAAAGGACGTGTTATTAATTATATTACGTGTACATATTATATGATCTCGACGTAGCTATACGTCTCTATACAAAAAAAAAAAAAAAAACAGTAAAATGCGTTTCCGCGTAATAATGAAAAACTTATTAGTATATATAAATATATAATACACAGCTAATTGGATGCATTTCCGTCTGACTTTCAAATCTTATTCGCAAAGTATAAACAATATTGTACATGCAATTATTTTTTTTTCAAAGCTAAATACGCGCGAAATATTCGTCTTATTTCAAAGCTCCAAATGCCAGCCGCTGTCGAACGTACACATATGATACATTATAATAATATTATCATCAACTCGGCGAAACGTATTGGAATTCTCTAAAATGACTCGTTCGAAAGCATTATTAATTACGTGTTAATGGTGTCGGCGGCAGCAGGTGACTCAACGATTTTTGATTTTTTTTTAGTCCGTCTGTGTTTTTCGTATTACATCGGAACACACATGTGCCATATACGCATAATAATAATATTGTACATATAGGTACTTTCTTCCGGAAAGACGCGCGCGGACGGCAGTCATTAGAGGAAAATAAGAGAAAGTGAGTC